TAAAAATAGGTGTAAATGCTAAGTATGGGAGGCCCAATCCTTCCCCTCCCCCGATACATCTCCAAAACCCTAATCCCTAAGAGGTCGGTAACGCACTCGTAACTCCTCCGTTGCGTGTGTCCATGGGCGGCGCTGATTGTTTAATATCAGGTAATCCGTCTGCTCGTTTGCCGATATATTACATAAAAAAGGTGTTGACGAAATCAGGCTCTTCTTTACTCAAAAATGTATGAAAAACTAAGTGTTTTTGACTTATTTAGCCTCTTTTGAAATGAAACTGCAGTTTTTGTAGTGTAGGTATGTAACATGCTAAAAATAGGCATCTTCGCCTACCTCCTTGAAATCTTGAAGCTAAAATTATGAATGTAAAAACTATAAAAAGTTAAGTACTTGTACTTATTGGTACCTACATATAGGTACTTATAAAAATCTTTAACAAGTCCTAATAAAGATTTGAAAGAACCCTAAATCCGGCTCAATTGTGATCTGCTATTGACCCTAAACTTATTAGAATTTTAATGACGTCACCAGTAAGATAAAATCACGATTTGTGCCTTCATTTATTTTATTCTTCTTGCTCGTTATAATATTGCTGCCTCATTGATCAACAATGCGCAAATGCCGTAAAAGGGTTTCGAAAAAAGGGGTCGAAAAAAGTATCATTACGATTTTTCGGCTTTTCGTTATCTTTTTCGTGACGCCACAACTACTATGATCTAATATTTGCGATATATTTATTTAATCACGTCGTGTCAAAATGAAATAGATACAACATGTCGCTGGTTCAATTCTCACACGGAAAAACGTTTTGTGTGATTCAAAAATTGCTCATCCGGGTCTGGTTGTAATGTGTATGTGAAATTGTTTGCTTATAAACACACGACATAGGAGAAAATACTAAAGTGGGGCAACGGTTTTTTATAAAATATATAATTCAATATAATAATCAGGTGTACGTAGCTGGAAGAAGAGATTAAAATAAATAAAAATGAATCGTGTTAATATAACCTCATCGTATTAAAAAATGAAACTATTTAAAAGTGTTTTAAAATGAATTAAGTGTTTTTTAATGTTTCTTTTTCAAGCGACCTGTGACGAAGTAAGTTTTTAATAGGTATGCTACGATTAACAGCTGACATAAACAAAGTATTTCGTTAGAAATCTTCGAGTTTTAATATTTTTAAGTGCTTGTAAACCAAGGTGTATCTCTTTCATTTTGTTTTTTTCTTTTTTCAATAAAACTTTTTAGAGCCAATTTTAAGTTGACAAGCTCTTTCAACAAAAAGTTTAATAATTGTGTTAAGTTTGTCTCAGATTGAGTTTATAAATAAATTTTATTAGTTAATTTTTTATTTAAAATAATACGTTTTCAAGCAATAGCAGATTTGTAAATAAAAAAATGCAGTAAGTGTAATTCAGTAATTCTTTGAATAGGTAGTAACTTATTATAACTCTTAATACGTAATATTTATTGAAAGTCTCTCGAGAATTAACTGAAAAAATCTCTACTATTTTCAAGTCACAACGGGACTTGTGTTATTCGGACAGTCGACTGCTATCTGATAGCAATGTGTAATATTCCTTAACCCAGTGTCGATCTGTCGACCGTGCAAAGTCACCAATTCCTAGCACTCTAGTCTCGCTGAACGATCTCCTGGAATCTAACCCTGGATGGAAGGATTTTTATTAATCTTATTTTTTTCTTGGTTTTCGTTGTTGATTGGATCTAATTGGCATTAATTAACATAAAATAAACAAAAAGGTAAAGCATTATATTACAATTTTTAATGTCTGCAAATCGAAACGATATCCTCTTGCTTGGCAATAATCGCCCTTACTACACAACACTAAGGCAGGTTTTAAACAAAAGGAGACTAATTGTCTACTTCTAATAGAAACAACATAAAGAAACCAATATCGATATCTATTCCGGTGTCCCTGTAAGTGCAACATAAAAACTATTTGAAAAAACCCAATAAATCAACCGTAGCAATAACTGAAGATGATTCATGAGTAAGTCAACTCGTTACTCAAGAAACTTGACTTTTTTCTAAACAGTTGTTCTCTTTTCTATTGATTTTTTCCTCAGTAAGCATTATATGCGAAATATTTCTGGTATTCCCAACAGCTTGAGAGTATAACTGCCTATTAACTAAAATTTTAGTTGTACGATGTTGGTGGTGCGGTTTTTTTTTTCAAAATGGTAAAGCCAGGCTAAGTCAGATATAATTATGGCAATAGGCTTACTTCCTGACAATTAAGTCCACCCACAAGAAACCCATTTCATTAGGGTTTTTTTTCTCTCCCGCCCAGGGAAAGGCAAAAGAGAGTGTCAGACTCTTACTGACTAAAAACACCCCCGTTCCTTCTCCTGCTCTGGGCAGTGGCCGCAGTGACTCATTGTGCTTACCAAGCAAACCCGGCTGAACATCAGCCCTATAGGGTTTCTTAGGGTATTCTGTGGTGGTCAACTGACTCTTTGAGGCGCGCAGCAGGGTAACGCTCTAATTTCTTGAGGTCGGTTAAAATGGTCAGATCACGTCTCCTGGTTGAGGCGAAAGGGAGTGTCAGATTCTTGCTGACAAAAAGCCTGTTCCTTCTCCTACACCGGACAGGGCTCCGCTAGATTATGGCACTTGCACCCTCAACTGGATACATCATAAAATATTTTTTCAGTACCAGATCCTTGAATGCCCAATCCTTCACCCCGCCCACGTCCTCAATCCTTAAATCCCTTATCCTTAAACATCGAATAATCCACAAGAGGCCAGTAATGCGCTTGTAGTGTCCTTTGGTATTACGAGTGTCCATGGGCGGCGCTGATTGGTTATCACCAGGTCAACTGTCTGCTATTGGTTATCACCAGGTCAACTGTCTGCTATTGGTTATCACCAGGTCAACTGTCTGCTATTGGTTATCACCAGGTCAACTGTCTGCTATTGGTTATTACCAGGTCAACTGTCCGCTATTGGTTATCACCAGGTCAACTGTCTGCTATTGGTTATCACCAGGTCAACTGTCTGCTATTGGTTATTACCAGGTCAACTGTCCGCTATTGGTTATCACCAGGTCAACTGTCTGCTATTGGTTATTACCAGGTCAACTGTCCGCTATTGGTTATCACCAGGTCAACTGTCTGCTATTGGTTATTACCAGGTCAACTGTCCGCTATTGGTTATCACCAGGTCAACTGTCTGCTATTGGTTATCACCAGGTCAACTGTCTGCTAGTTTACCGACCTCTTACATAAAAAGATCCCCCTATAAAACTGAACTGATGACAACTTCCTCACCTCCTTGAAGATAAAAAGACATAATAACAGTGTTATGATAAATATAACACTGTATTCGATCTTACCGCGACGTGTTTTGAAAAACGGCTAAAGATACCAAAATATTTAACACTACTCAGATATGAATACCTAAGGTTGGATATTTTTGCGAAATTGATACGTTTATTATGACTTACTTTACGACATAATTGTCCTGTACTACTCTATTGTTTCTAGACTACGTATATATATATATATCTATAATCGATAAAGTTGAAGAGTATGTTTGTTTGAACGCGCTTATCTCCAGATTTATTGGTTCGAATTGGACCCTGTGATGTATTATTGTGTTGGATGGTACATTTTTATAGATATGACCAATAATAGGCGAACAGAGGATGAATCTGTTACCATGTAGTGGATAAATGTTGTAACAATTTTTCAATTTTCTTTTATTTTTTATTCTGAAAACGTTGGACCCCACACTAGGATTTTCTCCTGTGTCGTGGTTGCGTTTACAAACATACAATTTCACATGCACATCACACCCAGACAGACCCGAAACAACAATCTGTGGATGACACAAAAAGTTGTTCCGTGCGGGAATCGAACGCGCGACACGTTGCGCGGCAGCCAGTTGCCCAACCATCGCGCCACCCGTGCAGTCAAGCCATACCATTGTTGTATGCTGATGGAAGAGTACCATACATTTATAACTATCCATTTTCTTCGTGTCGTTTAGCATTATAAGAGCCGACTAAGGCATAAGACGTTTCAAAAAGCGGGCATCAACGCTGAGCATCCATGGTATGACAAAGCGCAGATCCAAGCATGACACATTGGTTTTTCTATTCTGGCTCGTATAGCGGCAGAATAGATGCGGGGTTAAAACTTTAAATCTGCGATGTCCAACTCGCCTGCTTATTGTAAAGATTATGGCTAGGTCTTCTTATACAGAAAATACTTATATAGTCTACTGTCGAGAGATATCCGAAGAAAAGTAAAACTAAAACAGAAATTCACTGAAAATAAATAGATAGGTATTGTTTATTTTTCTTCAGAAATATTGACTGTCACTTGAGAGTATTAATCAAGTTATTCCCCTTGTACTTCTGCGTTTGTTTGTACAATTATTAATATTGAATTAGCTGTTAAACTAGTGTTCACTTGCTGGTTCAAAAGAAAATTAGCTACAGGAGGCGCAAAACCAGAGCATGTTTATGAAACACAGGATTGCCATCTTTTAGCAGTAAAGGGAATTAATAAAAAAAATGATGTTTTGTTGGAAACGAGATCGATGATGAACATTTTTAGACCTTTTTTTGTCAGGGGAAAATCATCAAATGACTTCTCTCAGGGCAAGGAGTAAGATGTAAGGCTGCCTAGGGTAAGGCGAGAGAGAATTTCAGACTCTTACTGCCTTAAAACCCTGTTCTTTCCGCTTTAGGCCGAGGCCGCGGTCCTTCATTGCATTTACCCCGCAACTCCAGCTGAACATCAGCCCTGTAGGGCTCCGTCTGTGAAACATTTTTAGGCTTAAAGCTAAAAATTGACATCAATAACGATCTTTATATTACTTTATATTGACAGAGCCAGCAAACAGATATAATTTACAATAATTAGCGGAATTAAGTTGTCAATTTCCGACAAGGTAACATCATCACTTCGTAAGCGTCGAGTGTATGGGATATAAGAATTGATGCAATGACGGATATTCGCTAGTTTTAAAATAAAAACACGCTGTACGCGTCGTCTCGCAGTTGATCGCGTACTTGTCGAAAGGTACTTGATACGTAGCAATGAAGTAGTGTACACGTTAGTGATAAGAACATCTTTTAAGATAAAAGTGAGTAAATAGTAGTGTTTTCAGACTATTGAAGGTAAGTCTGTAATTAATTGGTGCATTTATTTTTTCGTATAATGATGAAAACGAAAAAGTAATGAATACGAAATATTGAAAAATGGTTTTAGATTTTTCTATTTGATTTTTCGTGCTGTGTTATCTGTGTTGGTGAAATAGTGAGTGTTATTTTTTATATACATACGTATATAATTAAATAATAATTATTTCGTTCATGGTGTGTTCGTGCGTTTATGCGGTATGGTGTGTTAGAACAATAATGAAAATGTTTTTCATTTATTTTCTTTTTTTAAATATGTATAGGTAGTATATATACATAATTAGTAATCATCAATAGGTATATTAATTTTGAAGTAAAATGATTGTGATAAACAATGAATTATTGGATGTCTGGCAACTATTGAAATATAATTAGTTCCTTTTAGAATTGTCCAAGTTTAAGGTTTTATTTGAGTATGAATTTTGTACACGATCGTGTTTTGTTCCGTCATATTTTTTGCGTGTAACTTCACACTTACTTATTTTATCTTAAAATCTATGAATGAAAGTGTGTTTTTTTATCGTTTCCTTTATTCTTGATTAAGTAAAGTAATCAATTATGTTACTATTATTACGGTATAGTACCGTAATAATCGTAATAAATACCTAAGTGGCAAAATCTTTTTGGTTTGATAATGATCTTATTTATGTTCAGATGGTTTTGGACAATGTAGTTATCTAATGGTATCCACAGCAGTTGCCGAATTCGTTTTTGTAACCAAAATTATATTTAAAAAAGAAAAGATATTACAATTTCGACTGCGTGGTTGGACAACCGGGTGCTACGTCAATAGTGGCGGGTTTGTTTCCCTAAGTAACTAACTACTCAGTAAGCACGAAGTTACTCTTTGTGTGATCCACAAATTGTTGTTCCGGGGCCAAATGTGATGTGTATGTGAGGCTGTACCTACATATGCATGTATATGTTTGTAAACGCATCAAGATACTTTTTTTAAAAGATAAAATCATTCAATTATTTTTCTCACCCTAGATGGGGCTGAAATTCCCTGTATCAGATTCTTACTGATTAAAAACCACCCAGCTCTTTATGCTCCGAGCTGGGTCGGCAGTCCGTTATTGCTCTTTGCCCAAAACGCTGATCGGGGTATTGGCCCTTATGGGCTTCATAGTCTGATAGACTTTTGGAGTGCGCACGATTACTGAATTATTATGATGTCAATAAAGACTAAGAGGTCGTGGTGGCCCAGAGGTTAAGGAGCCCGCTTCTCATGCAGGAGGGTGTGGATTCGAAACCTGGCAAGTACCAATGTGACTTTTTCCGAGTTATATGTACTTTCTATGATTATTTAGACACCACTGACGTACGGTGAAGGTAAACATCGTGAGGAAACCTGGACTTATAATTTCTAATTATAAGTTTGAAATCGCCAACCCGCATTGAGCAAGCGTGGTGATTAATGCTCAAACCTTCTCCGTGTGAGAAGAGGCCTTTGCTCAGCAGTGGGCACTTATAGGCTGATGATGATGAAAGACTAAAAAAAACGATTTTTATAAACTACGACTAATGACGTAGAACATAGGATGAACAGATACTTAGTACATTAACATTATCATTTAGTACTAGTACCTAGGTATGTATATCTGTAATTATCTGTGCTAATATAATAAAACTAAAGAGTGTTTGTCTGATGAAATGAATGGCGTTAATCTCTTAAACCAGCAATTACACTTGAAAAATGACCCTGTACAAAATGGAGTAGGTTAAAACGAGACTTTTATACATATATTAATAAAAAAAACAGGTATTTTATGATTACTAAGCTTTATACCTACTTAACGAAAGATTAGTGTTGCATATTCTGCCGGGGTTGCGGGGTAAGCGCAACGAGGCACCGCGGCCTTGGCCTAAAGCAGGAGAAAGAACGGGGGTTTTTAGGCAGTAAGAGTCTGACACTCAGTCTAGGCACTGAATGAGGTTTTATTATCGATTCTAGTGATCTAGAACTTAATTGATGGACATCCCAGCTACTTTATGGATTTCTTTACAACGTAATTTATATTAACTAAGAGCATTGTAAAAAATGCTACTAAATCTGTGGCATACCGCCTATAATATAACCTATTACTACATACTATACTATACCTAATTCATTTAAAAATATGTCACTAATTATTCAATATCCAATAATCTCAGACGTAACTGATTATTTAATTTTAACTTTATTGCAACAGTTTGATTGTTCATATTCCTTTGAATTACTTATTCGGCGGATATAGGGCAGGTCAGTCATTATAGGCCTTTTTTTTTTTTTTTTTTTTGTCAGGGGAAAATCATCCAATGACTTCTCCCGCCCAGGGTAAGGCGAGAGAGAGTGTCAGACTCTTACTGACTAAAAACCCCCCCGTTCCTTCTCCTGCTCTGGGCCGAGGTCGCGGTGCCTCATTGCGCTTACCCCGCAGCCCCGGCTAAACATCAGCCCTTTAGGGCCCCGACTGTGGTGGTCTATTGGCTCTTTGAGGCGCGCGCGGAACGCTACGCGCCGTACGCTCGGGTCCAGTTCTGGTCGGGCGGCGAGCTACCCTTACTCGCCGTCCGCAGACCCGCGCTTACGGTGGCCGGAGATCATCCCTCGATCCCCGACGTCCGGAATGTCGCCTTCTGCGGCGGCTGGGGCGCGAGGAGGATAGTTCCCTCACGCGCTCCGCCTCCTCCTTTGCGAGCATTACTGCTTCGCAGAAGGAGGAGATAGCTTCCCAGTTCCTCTCACGCTGCACCATGGCCTCGATTAAGGCCGGGCGCGAGAGGTCGCTGCCGCCGATCACTTCCCTGAGAACACGGCGGTGCTCAGCCCAAGCAGGGCACTCCGCCACCGTATGCTCCACCGTGTCCTCCAGGTGATCCTCACAATGACGACACTCGGGCGTTTCCTCCCGCTGGATCCGAAACAGGAACCTACCAAAGCTGCCGTGCCCGGTAAGCACCTGCGTCAGGCGGAAGGTGAGGACGCCGTGGCGTCTCTCAAGCCACTCCTCAAAGAGGGGTCTTACCGCTGCTATAGTAGCGTGCCCGGCCCTCGGTTGCGACAGTCGCTGCTTCCACTCAGCCATGAGATCTCGCCGGAGCTCATTCCGCCACGCACTAATTTGGCGCGGCAGAGGATCCTCGCCCCGGCGACGCGCGTCTGCGCGCAAACTGTAGACGCGCGCGAGCGCCTTCGCTTCCAGATCCCATGGCGGTGATCCGGCAAGGAGGTTCGCCGCCTCCCCGGAGATTGTGCGATATCCGCGGATTATTCGGATAGCCATGACCCTCTGGGACGCGGCCAGCGTACGAGCCGGCCGCCGCTTCAAATCCGGCGCCCACACAGGGGCACCGTAGAGGGCTATGGATCGCACAATCCCCATGTACAACCTCCGGCAGGAGGCGTTTGGCCCCCCGAGGTTGGGAAGGAGCCGCTTGAGCGCGGCCCCAGACCGTTCCAACTTAGGAGCCAAACGACGAAAATGCTCCGTGAAATTCCATCGGCTGTCGAGGACGAGACCCAGGTACTTCATCGCCGACTCGACGCCGATGGTAACTCCTCCTGCCATTATTTGGGACCCATCTGGAGGTGGCGCGTTCCGACGGCCATAAAAACACATGGCCTCGGATTTGTGAAGCGCCACCTCGAGTCCCAACTGCCGGATCCTTGCAACGACTGTCGCGACCGCTTGCGACATCAGGTCGGCCGCCGCCTGATGTGACCTCCCATTCGCCAGCACCAGCGTGTCGTCAGCATAACAAACAATGCTGACGCCGCTCGGGAGGTCGGTGCGTAGCACCCAATCGTACCCGATGTTCCACAGGAGAGGTCCCAGGACCGATCCCTGTGGAACACCGCGCGACACCTCTCGCCGATTCCACACGCCCCGGTGACCGGGGTAGATGACGCATCTGTCCGTCAAGTAAGCCTCGACTACACGACAGAGATAGGCAGGCACCCGGTGATACCGGAGTGCCTCCAGAATGCAGCTCCAGGGCAACGAATTGAAGGCGTTGGCGATGTCCAGAGACACCGCCACGACGACTCGCCCCCTGGCCAACGCAGTCCCCGTCGTGAGGTCCCTCACGCGCATGATGGCGTCCACCCTGGAGCGCCCTCTGCGGAAGCCGAACTGGCCGTCCGCTAAATCCGGCCCCCTTCCAGACAGGTGCCCGACGAGGCGGTCTGATATTATCCTCTCGAACAGTTTTCCCACCTCGTCGAGCAGCACAATGGGCCGGTACGCGGACGGAGAGTCCGCAGGACGCCCCGGCTTCTTCACGAGGACCAGTTTACCCGTCTTCCACGACAGCGGAAACTGGCCCCTCTCCAAGCATGCGCTGAAAAGACCAATTAGTCGAGGCCTGAGAGCCTCCGAGGCCAGGACCCAAACCTTGGCATGCAGCCCGTCAGGTCCTGGGGCGGTGTTCTTGCCGCTCAGCCGGCGCACCGCCACCCTCAAATCTACCTCGGTCACTTCCGGAGCGGATTCACCGTCGTCGTCGTTGTAGCCCGCATTGGGCACCGCAGGGGGCGGAGACATAGTGGGAGGCATGTAACCTATCTGTGGTCGGGGGAATAGCGCCCCAACCACTTCGTCCACGACCTCCGGCCGGAGACTCTGAGTCAGTGGGGGCGCCCAGGTGCGGAGCTTATCACGCACCATGCGGTAGGGGCGTCCCCACGGGTCTCTGTTCAGAGTCTCCAACATCTCCTCGCAGGCCCGATCTTTGGCCCGCCGGATCTCCACCCTTAGGGTGGCCTTCGCCGCCCTGTACTCCTCGTACAGCTCCGCCTCTCTGGTTTCAGCGTCCAGAGGGCGGATACGGAGCCTGCGGTGCCTGGTGTATCGGCGTCGCGCTGCGGTGCACTCACCACGCAGAGCAGCCAGCTCCTGCGACCACCAATACACCTGGCGCTTGCGTTGGCACGCCCGGATCCGGGGCATCGCCACGTCGCACATCCTGGACATGGCGTCCTGGAGCCATCTCGCCTC